GAGTCCCCCAATAACACCTTCTGGGTGCGGCCCTCCCGAATGAACGGAGCCACTGCAAAACAGTGCCCCCGAGGCCCATTCCGGAAGGCGCCCCAGAAGGATACCGTGGTCGACGGTATCGAAGGCCGCTGAGAGGTCCAGGAGCACCAACAGGGACACACTCCCCCTGTCGAGCTCCCGGCGCAGATCATCCACTAAGGCGACCAAGACCGTCTCAGTTCCATGTCCCGGTCTGAAACCAGACTGTGCCGAATCCAGATAATCCGTGTCTCTCAAGAATACCTGGAGTTGTGAGGCCACCACGCTTTCCATGACTTTGCCCAAAAAGGGGAGATTGGAAACAGGCCGAAAGTTGTCAAATTTAGTGGGGTCCAATGATGGTTTCTTCAACAGCGGTTTTATAATAGCTTGTTTTAAGCTCGCTGGAATCTTGCCTTCCCGAAGGGAGGCATTAACCACCACCGTTACCCACTCAGCCAATCCCCCTCTGGCCTCCTTCAGAAGCCAGGATGGGCAGGGGTCTAGGATGGACATGGTGGGCCTCATTCCTCCAAGTATCTTGTCCACATCCTCGGGCTTCACAAATTGAAAAGAATCCATCAAAATAGGACAAGCAGGTGCTCGTGTCACATCCTCAGAGACTGCATTTCCAATTACCATTATCTTTTGAAATGCAAATCTGTTGTCTCCATTTGTACTTCTTTTGGCCATGATACATTTATTCTTTGTGATGCATTTGACCTAGCATGTCCTTTTGTTTTTATGAGGAAGCATTAAAATGCAGTTAAGTAATAGAATACAACCCTAGGGAACCGGGAAAGAACTGCAATAAGAAATGAGCTTCTCTTCTCAGTCTTTGTAAGGTAGGTGTAACTTGAAAAATCATATTTAAATAAGATTTTTATAATGCCAGAATGGTGGTGGGGTCAAGTATTTAGCCCATAATCTACTGTGAACACAAAACAGATTGTTGGTATTTTGAAACCCATATGGTTTCTGTAGAAACAATTCATAATCAACATAATTTTGGTTAATGTTTTGGGCTTTGGTTTTAAAAACAAAAAAGTGTAAGGCACATCCTAGAACAAACAGCATGCACCTCCAATTCTTTTTAATAGACCCACTTCAAGAACAAAAAAGGAAATCAGTCATCCAAGAAGGAGAAAAAACTAATATTGAAGCAAGGGAATAAAAAAAATCCACATCTGGTATATAAGGAGAAGGAGATCAAAATCTGAGACATACTATTTCAAACAGTTATATTTATTTGCCAAAATATATAGATTCTGGGCACTGAATGGGAAATCAAACTAAGAGAAAACTTAAATCTGACTCTACTGCTGTCAAGTCATATCGTCCATAATAACCAGAAACATAATTCAGGAATTAGGCATGCATGTGAAATTTTTGGAGTCAGCACACAGTCAAGCCTACAATGCCACTATGATCCATGGGAGTCAAGACCATCCAAACTGGAGCAGTCAAGGTGTGGTCTTCAAGCTTGGGTTTTTTTGGATTTTTTTTTTTGGCCCTCCTCCCTAGATTCCCTTTTAGTCATACAAAAAAAAAAGTCAATTGTCTCTCCTGAAACAAGGGTTGCTGCCTGCTGGATCTGTTTAGGACTGTTTATTTATTTATTTACTACGCTTATATACCGCAATTCTCAGCCCAAGGGCGACTCATTGCGGTGTTTAATGTGTTTGGAAGATTTTCTTCAATAATTAAAAAAGTGAGTCATAAGGTTTTTATTTTCCTACATATATCTAGCCATAATTGATTTTAAAATGCTCATTTTTCTCCAAATAAAGGTTTTAGTCACAAGCAGCTTTAAGCACAGATGCAAGGAAAATGCTGTCTGCTTAGATGACAACTATGTTTGTTTTTTATCATTATTAAGGCAGATGCTTTTTCTGGCAAAGATCTATTTCTTTGCTGGATGTGAGAACATGAGTGTCTAGTTGGCATCTAAGAGGCCTGATTCACTCTTCTGCTTCTCCTCCATCTACCACCAGTCCAGCACCCTGCCTTCTCATTTCTTGGCTTTGTTGCTAGTGACACTGAAATGCAAATCTTTACATGAGTTGCTCCAGAACAGGACAACACCCAGAATAAAGGGGTAAGACTTTAGCCCTCCAAATTAAAGTAAATATGTAGCATGTGTCTTAGAAGTACAAAGGTTGAGTAAATGAGAACTTCTCCTGCTTCAAGGCAAGGGGCAAGGTGACACATTTACAGGGTGACATCATTCCTTTTTACAGCATGAACATCTGTTTTACAGACTTCAGACATTTCTGCTATCTATATATCTTAATGGATTTTGCCTTTCTTGGTGTTCTTTTCTGCCCTTCACCCATCCCCACAATTAACAGACTCTAATATGTTAGAAATGTTTGTAAGCATAAGCTTTAATTTCAAATGCATTATTCACAAGAATGGTTAAGTACAGAGATGGGAAGGAAATGTAACCATTTAAGACCAGTGTGTTGGACAGTAACCTAGTAAGAACTATGAATTGATCAGGATAATAATTTTTGAAAGATTTCAGCCACTTGACGCTTACCTGAGATTCAGAAATACTCATAGATTACGTAAAGTTTATAACATTTATTTAGTATAAATGTAATCAAAGGCAAAGTCAAAGAAGCTAGATAACAGAGCATCAACCACACCAAAGTACTGGAAGGTCTCTTGGAATGAATTCTGAAACATATCTAACATCTCAAAATCTTAGAGATGTGTTTCAGAGACAACACACTAGAGAATTAGACTACTGAACATGATATCCAACAAGCTTAATGATATCTTAACCATGTAAAAATCTAATATATCTGCAAGATCTATGTTTTGACTGATCCATGCCAATGAGAGGCCCTACAAATGTGACAAGAATTTTATTATTGGTGATATCTCCATTTTGGATAGTACTTTTACAGGGACTGCAATGATTTATAAAAAAAAGTTCTGATCACTACTTTTGCTTTGCTGCACTGGAAGAGCAAATATATCTCCATCAAAACACCCCCTCCTGAATTTTGGCATATTTTCCTCTTATGAATAAAAAATGTATTTAATAAGCAGGTGTAACATTTGTATTATATAGATTGTTGGCCTTTTAGTCAGAGACTTGTGAACTTAGGTTGATCAAGATTTGTAGCTAACAATACCCCTTGACCCTTTTAGAGGGCTACAATACCCAAGTCACACAAAAAAGTACTTTTATTCAATTAATTGGAGAAGGCTGCTTTTTCACAAAACAAATGATTCTCATAGGTTTATAAATTCATTTGTATTTCTGTCCCTGAAAAATGCAGCTCTATGGACACTGTTGAATGCCAGATTTCAGGAATGTTACTTATTCTTATTACAAATCTATCTCCCAAAATCTGGCAGTTGTAGTTCAAAAATACAATTTTCCCAGCTCATTTTACAAATTTACTTTCAAACCAAGGCTGATTCTCAAATAAAGTCAAGCATTTTTCTGTCCCAGGAACAAGAGGACAAAGGGTTTGAATACTGTGTACTTCAGACAGTAAGGGCAGAGATTAGAGGTGTTTATAGGCATGCATGTTAATTGAAGAACAGCTTGTCATGAAATAACAGTTTGGCCTCATATAAAAATGATTTCTGTCCCTGTGGAATCAAAGTAGACAAAAGTCATGTCTTTTTAATGCAGTTTTTATAGAGTGGAATGTAGCAGTTTGCTTGGCCTTTCTCTAAGGAAACGCCCTGGAAGATCACTGGAATGGTAGCTAGAATATTTCCTGCCTGGTACAAATCAGATAGCTACAATACTAACATAAATAAATCAATAAATAAATTTCAGTATTCACTAGATTCCTCTTCTTTGTAAAGGTAAAATCTTTTGCAGCATGGTATATTTCTATGTATTTCTATGTTTTAATGGTCATGTTTCAATTACTCCTTGTTTTGTTTAATGGGTCTTCAACTATATAATATAAATACATTTAAACAAAAATAGGGTTCACTGAGCAAACTGAATATTCTGCTCAATATAATTATCATGCAAGCTATTTCTCAATTTTGTCGTCTTGCAAGGTTTCCAAACTGGCATCTAGTGCTCTCACAGCAGTTTAGGTTCCACATTTGGCACCCAAACAGGTTATTTCAATTCACTGGATGGCTAAGGAATAGATTCCAAATGTCAACCCTTACGATTCTGGCTGGGAGAAATGAGGGTATTGGGGGTAAATCATGGAGAAGGGGAAAGGAAAATATTGTTTGGGTTAAATGGAGAAGTTCCAATGCCTAGCTTCTAATTTAAAGAAACTAGTGCTTACAGCTAGCCATGTTTCTATCAAATATTTCAATGATGTGTATAGGCCTTCTAAACCAGGATGGGAAGATTTTACCCTCCAGATGTTTTGGACTATAATCCTGTAATTTTGCATTATCAGTCATGTCAACGGAGGCCCCTTCCACACAGCTGAATAAAGTCCCACATTATTAACTTTGAACTGGGATATAGGGCAGTGTGGAGACAGATATTCCAGTTCAAAGAAGATATTGTGGGTTATTCTGCCTTATTATTCTGGTTTATATGGCTGTGTGGAAGGGCCCTGAGTCTTCTGGGACTTTAAGTACAAAACATATGAAAGAATCGAAGTTCTCCACTTAATTCTAGAAAGTCTTCAAAAAAAACTACTATAATTTTTCCTGGGACACCAAAAGAAGGAAAGGTTAGTTCAAATTAATACAATCTGCAATAGAATTGAGGGAAATTGTGAGCACTGAGCAGCTTTAAAATAGGGAGTTCCTAGTGGCACAACATCAGATACTAAAAAAGAAAGCTGGATATATCCTTTCTCTAGTGCAACATACCTGTGGAACATAATGTTGAGCCTACTTGGTTTCCATGTAGGAATAAAAGTGGACTATTCTTGAAATTAATTAATTTTGGATGATCCCCTTTGGAGATCCAAGAAAACCAAGGCTATATGAGGGTGTTTTTTTAAGAGTGTGTTTAAAAACAATGTGCTTACGTTTAAAGCAGTAGGCATCAAATCTGCTGTCTGGTTCAGGAAATCCGGTTTGATTCTCGAAACGATAAAGGGTTCGCACTCCAAGTAAACCTCCACCACATTGGATTCTTGCCACAGAAACAGGGTAACGCACACTGCCATCAGCCAGCCAGCCATAGTCACACTGGTCAAAGCCTTCCCTCCAGGCAGCATGCAAGTCACCAGCCGTAGCCAGAACTGCATCTCGTTCTTCACATCCTCGTACAGCTTCTTCAAATGTTAGCTTGTTGGGAGAAGTTATATGGAAGAGATCACCTACAAGAATGGAAACAAATTGTACATTTACTTCTTTGCGAGCACACATGTAATTGTGTCACTTTCTTAAAACTGCTCAAATGAAAAAATCAGCTTCCAGCATTATTACAATAACATAATTTTGTTCATTTTTTGATGAATGTTACAGTTTCTCCATTTTGATGTAAACTGTCTTGAGCATTCTATATAACAATTCTATGTGCTGATGTTGACTTGGAAGGAGCAATTTTCTGAGATACTGACTTGCTTCTTTGGATCTTCATGACCTAATCTAATAAATTCCCTTCCACTTCAAAGCATCCCTACACTATTTAATTTCATCTATTCCATATGATTTCCCTTATGACTAGTACACTTTCCCAGACTTCTTCCTTTCCTCATCCTCAGAAGCACATATCAGATTCTCCTGAAAACATTTCCTGAATCCTTTAGGCTTAGCTTTATCCACAAGCTAAATCAGACCTAATTTCTGATAACCAAAACTAATTACATGTACTCCATCCATCTATGTATCATAAATCTTGTCCTTACCCTCTTCCATCCCTTCCCATTCCTATACAATACAACCCACATATTCATGGGAAATACATTTTTAAACAGGAAACCATAGATAATAGTGAACCCTAATGAAACAAATGACTTTTGCAAGAAGTTATCATACAGTTGCCCTGGGGAATCTATACAATTCAAAGAGATGCAACGATTTAACTGTTACAGTAGGGGTGAGCAATGTGTGGAGCTCCAAGATGTTGTTGGACTACAACTTTCCTTACATTTAGCCAGGGTGGTGAGGAGTATGAGAAGGGAAGTCCAATAACATCTGGAGGATTACGGTTTGAATAGACCACAAGGATCATCCAATCCAATATACTGCCTTTTTTTTTTGTAGTGTTAGAAGTCGCTTCTGGTGTGAGAGAATTGGCTGTCTGCAAGGACATTGCCCAGGGGACGCTCGGATGATTTTGATGTTTTTATCATCCTTGTGGGAGGCTTCTCTCATGTCCCTGCATGAGGAGCTGGAGCTGATAGAGGGAGCTCATCCGCCTCTCCCTGGATTCGAACCTGCGACCTGTCGGTCTTCAGTCCTGCCAGCACAGGTGTTTAACCCACTGCGCCACCCAACCAAAATACTTGGCAATCTAAGTCTCTGCTTAAAACCCTTCAAATAAAGTGACTCTCTGAGTCACTTTATTTCTGAAATTATTTTGCTATTTTAATAAAGGCACAATTTAGTCTGCATCTCAGTCAGTGTCATTAGTGGGTATCTTCTTATGATGAATCATGCTACTGAGGCACTTCCCATATACAAGCCCTCTCTCTACTTACTCTGCACCATGACTAGTAATTTGCTAATGTACAAGAATAGACAATTGCCATATGGAATTATTCCCATGGAATAAATTCCTATATCGAATAGCAATGTATACATTACCATAAAGTTATAATTCAATGAAGGATGTGATCAGGATTTTTGAACAGTAGTTGTAATGGTTTTAGTTACTTTCATAGGTATATGATCATGACTGAACTCAGTTGTGGAAAAGAAATATCACCTAATTCAAGGTCATGTTGCTGCCTTGTGCTGTATTCTGTTATAGGTCTTGAGATAAACATGAAGTGGGAACATATTTTGTACTACATCGTTTGCTATATTCTAATTCCATTTTAGTTCATATAAAAACAACTATTCTATTTGATCATAAATAGCCAATATTACATTTGAAAAGTATAATTATAACAGCAGCTAACTCTTGTGGCACATCTTGCAACTATAATTGAATATCAATATTAACTACATTTGAAATGCAATTTTCCAAGCTTTTCAAATGCCAAGATAGCCACACTTTGCTTCAGTGGCTCAGATGGGGATTTGCTTATCTTAAAGGACATTCTGGATAACAAGGAAAGGAATTGATGTATCTAATGCCAAAGATTCTGGGCTTCCCTGCCAGAGCACCTGACTGTGCAATGCACAAAATTTGCATCTCAAATAATAGCACATTATTCACTAATATGGGAAAAAAAACCACAGTAGAACCTTCCAAAAAAACCCAATGAAATGGCCAGGAAAACTAAAACTATATTTACATTGCCATTTCACAGAGTATTTTGTAAAAAAAAAAAAATCTTGCACATATGAAGGTGTTTAATTATGTTAATGTGTCAAGTTTTGACATTCAAGCCAAACAATTACACCATATCATTTTGAAATTCCTAATTTTAAAAAACACCAATGAGACCAATAGCACTGCAACATAATATGAATACTCAAAAACAGGCAATATGTCTACAAATGTATCATCTTCCTTGAAAGGAAACTACAAATGTATGTGTCACTACAACCCCATCTGCTCCTCAATTTCTGTAATAGCCATTGTAACATGTTAACAAAACAGACAACCAGCGAGGATTGTTGGAGTCGGAAATAATTCTCTTTAATTCTGTAGTTACAATGGAAGATGTTTTCACTGTTACTTTACGGGAAATGTATGAAAATGTTTTTCAAGCCAATTTTTTAGGTAATCAAAACCATTTGCTCCCCATTTTTATTGAAATTGGTGTCTCATGAAATAGTGTTTTTTCTATGGTACATGATACAGAAACAACAAAATATACTCAAGCTTTGATCCGGGAGATAATTATATATGACAGGATCCTATTCGCTCATAGGTAAAGGTGCAGTAATAGCAAGGTGGAAAATATTGTGGATGCAGTGGCAGCAACAAAAAATGACAAAGTCAGCAGCAGCAGAAAGTGGGGGAATGGGTGCTGGCTTTAAACCTGGCTTCCAGGTCATAGGATTTGTGAAACTGAGACACTCAAAGAATCCTATGGAGATGGGGGGGGGGGGGTGGACAGAAAAGATAATTGTCCAAGTTACCTCTCTTAAAATGCCTTTGCTTTTAGCATGCCAGGAATTGAGAAATAGTTGGATGCAACAGCCACCACTTTCAGTGACCATAGAAAAGAAAGTGCAACCACTACTATAATATTCAGATAGTGTTCCAACAAGAGTTCAACCAGTCATGAGTTACAACCCAATGGAGATTTGGTGAATGGGATGGTGGAGGTAAATGGCCAGAGGAGTGTACTATAGTGCCTCAAATCTGCCATCCATGTAGATGACATGGAATTAGGAAGGCTAGGAGTGTTACAAAGCTCAGGTGATATAAATACTGGCCATTGTATAAAACTTACATGAATGTTGATTTACCAAGTTCTTATTGATTCAATGGATTTACTCTAGCTAGAACTAGCAACTGGGAGCCCTTCCACACAGCCCTATATCCCAGAATATCAAGGCAGAAAATCCCACGTTATCTGCTTTGAACTGGGTTATCTGAGTCCACACTCAGATAATTTGGGATTTCCTGCCTTGATATTCTGGGATATAGGGCTGTGCGGAAGGGTCGTAAGACTGTAGAAGCAAATCCCATGGAAATCAATAGAAATATTGAAGTAAATATTATTACTTAAATCAGGGTGTAAGTTTAGTAAACATTTCTGTGGTACAATGTTTGAATCTGTACTTTTTAAAGAGAGTGATAAATATATATATTACAAGACAGTATAAGAAAGATAGATTTCTAGAAAAAAAAATATTCCTGGCAGATAATACTATTGGAAACAGTGCTTCAAACAAGTTTTCTCTCTACTTTCACAGACCATTGTTATTAGAGGAATAGGAAGGTTCACATAATATAGAGTTTCCTGCTTGCCTCTAACCATATTTCACACCCTCTCTCAAGTTTTTGCCTTTGCTCAACTAGAACTTGTAAAACATAGTAAGGATGAAAAGAATATTCATACACTTGAAGAATAAAATACAAGAAAGAAGGTTTTTGAATGTTTGACAACTCTAACAAGGAGAATCATTCTCAGGCTTCAATACTGGAAACCAGATTGAGAGTTTCTGGATAATAATTAAGGGAACAAGGACTGAAAAAGATGTTGTTGTGGAGATCTGCTACAGATCACCAAGCCAGACAGAAGAACTGGATGAAGCCGTTCTTGACCAGATGACCAAACATGCATAAAGAAGAAGAAATATAGTAGTAATAGGGGATTCAACTACTCTGATATTGTTGGAAAACAAACTTTTCCAAGAGTACAAAGTCCAGCAAATTCCACACTTGCCTTGCAGACAATTTTAGAAGAGGCAACAAGGGGATCAACTATTCTGGATCTGATCCCAACCAACAGTGATGATCTGTTCAATGGAGTGGAAGTGGTGGGAACCTTAAGCAGGCCTGTAGCTGGGGGGGGGTTGGCTTCACCCCCCCCCCCCAGCTACAGGCCTGCTTGTTTCAGGTTAAAATAAACCTGGTTTACTTATGAATTAACCAATTCATGAGTAAACCAGGTTTATTTTAACCTGAAACATTTCAGGGGGCTTGAACACTTAAACTGCCCCCCTGGCTAAAGTCCTGAGTGGGAGTAACCATGTGCTCCTGGAGTTCTTGATACAAAGGGGGGGGGTGAGACTAAAAGAAGTCAAACATGCATTCTAAACTTTAGGAGAGCTGACTTCAGGAAATTTAAGGAAATACTGGGCATGATTCCATGGACAGGAATACTAAAAGAGAAGGGATTTAATGATGGATGGGAGATTCTTAAAAGTGAGACACTGAAAGCAAAATTGCAAACAGTGCCAGCAAGAAGAAAAAACAGAAGTGTAAAACAACCAGAATTGATGTCCAAATAACTTTTAACTGAGCTAAGATTTAAAAGAGACATGCGCAAGAAATGGAAAAGGGGGAAATCACCGAAAAGGATTTCAAACAAATAACCAACATATGTAGGGAAAAGGTTTGTAAGGCTAAGGCACAAAATGAGCTCAAGCTTGCCAGAGAGATTAAAATCAGTTTTTAAAAAAGGGTTTCTTTGAAAAAAAGAAGAAAAAGGAAACAGAGAGAGTGGTGAAATGCTAACAAGGGATAGGGAAAAGTCAGAGCGAAATGATGACCTAAGGAAGAGGGAGAAGGTTTGTTTTCTGTTGG